AGCGGTGCTCATGCCAAAAAAATACAATGGTTATAATTGTACTCTGATACATTTCAAATGGAAAGCTTTCTGCAGACATAATTTTGGCTTCAAGACTGGAACACTTTCTTGGCATTGAAAGGGCATTTGATTCATCGGGTGTTTCACAATGTATCACTAAAAAGACCTGGTGAGCAGCCAGTTCCCTATAGGGTAATTTTTCCATCCAGATGCAAGTGCTATCAGAGGCCCTCGTCAGCTAAACTAATTATGATCTTGCATTTGCTGATGCCTGCTCACTCTAACGTTCGACATCCTCCATTAATCATCAATACAAGGAAAATGAATGAAACGTAAAGAAACGAGGGCTGGTAAGCTGCACAGCCATAAAAATCTGAAACGAGTGCAATAATTTAACAAGATTGGGGAAATGTTTTTAGTGAGCACAAAGTCAGGCTAACAATTGCCCTTTTAAACCAAGAACACAATTTCATTAGTATAGCAGGTTGTGCTACTTTAAGGTGATATAATAAAAACTAGATTGTCATCAAGATAATCTCTCTCGCACCCCCTTACATCATCCCCTACTTTGCCTCCTAAATCAGAAGCAGTAACATGCTACATTTCTTCTGAATTTGGGTAGGGGAAGAACTAACCAGCAGTTCATGCAAACATCCAACTTACCGCGCCTACGAGAGGTAGCTCACCCTGGCTAGGCACGTTCACCTACAAGCACACCGAAGCTCCTACTTCTTTTTGCGGTTGCGTACCCTTGCAAAATTTCACCTGGCTGCTGAAATAGTTTCCTTAAGAATACAATAACGTTTCACTAAACCAACCCCAGTTTGGTCGACCTGGCGGGTGAGAAGTTTCCGACTGGAAATGACTTTGTGCGGCCAGGATACAGATACAACTGCAGAACTGTTCCTTTCTGTTGCTACTTTTTGTCTGTCAGCCTAGGATTTCTTGGTGTGCCGAATCAAACAAGTGGAGCCTTAAGCTGAGCGAGTCTTTCCGCCCTTTCATTTCTGTTTGCGTTCCTTAAGCTTGGGAAAATACCTCTACACAGTCATGGAAGTCTTTTAAAATATAATAGGGAGGAATCCAGTTTATACTCTGCATTCTCACACACCTGAACGGGGGACAGAAGGTGCAATAACCTTGAAATCATCGTCAAAGAATATGGAGTTAGTATATCGTAAACACATGGAAAAGAGTTTATTTAGAGAAAGGAGCTGAAAAGAGTTTATTTACATTGAAAAGAGTTTGTTTATTCTTTCCTTTTTTTTACAGAAAGATCCAATTCAAACTCGGTATTAGTCACAATGAAATCATTTAACGATTTTAGCTGGGAATGAGCTACAAAATATCTAGATAAAATAGCTACATAAATCAAAAAACTGTATCTGTGCTTCCTTAGTAAATACAAACTATTTATCTCTTTAAAATTCCAAAGTCGTGCAGCAGATTCAGCTGAATTCCCTAAAATTAAGGTTAAATGTGTACATTTGTCCTACATGCTGTTCTGAACATTGCAAGTCTTATCTTTTTTTATCCTTCTGATCTCATTTCTGTGACGTTTAAGGACCTTACCTGATAATCAACAAAGATCATTCCCTTATCTAAGTGTTCCAACACAGATCCCGTACATTAATGAATTAAAAGAATTAAATCACCTTTGCAAAAACTTAAATGCTTTTACTTTGTTGAGCTTTTCGCTTTTTAAATAGCTTTTGTAAGGGGGACAAACAGCTTTAAAATGGATTCTCTGGGATGAAACAGGACTGTGGCAGAATCAGACCAAGTATTCCTGACTCCCAGATGCCACTAACCACAGAACTGGGCTGCTTGTCACAATATACGCGAGACTCTTGATTGAGCTTGCAAGAAAAGAATGGAAGCTGTTTTTAAAAGCCTGTGTTGCCTGGAATTTTCTTCTCCTAAATCAGTTCGGGCTCCTCAAAAAAAAGTTAGCCTTTCGCTTTCCATGTACGGAATTTTGAAAAGGCTATTGTCCAACAGGAATTATCTAAATATTTATTTTTTGTGCTAAATGTTAACCTAGTGATGATACTTCTAAGGCATGAGTCTGCTTGGCTTTGGATATTCAGCTTTTGCACTGGTCAGTAAAAATGGCCAATATCGCTATTTTGCTGGGTAGTCCTGCAAAGGAATAGTCGCTTCAGCTCCAACTCGGCAAGACCTGCGGACCTACGGCCCGCAGCCTCCATAAAATCTAGCCATGAGCTCAAGTGCTTTGCTAAACATGAATCTAGGCCAGCGTTTTCAAGAAATATATTGTCGAGCCTTTGCTCTTTTTTAAATGTGAACACGTACTTACAACAGCTAAACAGTCTCTGAAGAGTGGCCCAGAAAAGGTAAATCGACATAATCGCTCATAGGAGGCTTTGAGCCTCAAATAAAAATGTTTCCGTCTCCAATCAATGCCATGGGCACTAATTGGAGTTATCCATGAAAATTTCCTGTACATCCTTGGAAGAATAAGCCAAGAGGGTCTAACGAAATAGCTAAAATATGTATCTACTAAGTCAAACTTTAATCACCTGGAGCCTTATAACCACTATATTAAAATCACAAATCCTGAAGGGGCCAGTTTAATGAAGAGTCTGTCTCTATTTCCAGTCCAATTCCTAGGTCTGGGCACTTAATATCATGATTTTCTCAAACCACACTGGGCTGAAATTTGGCACATGTTTTTGTCAGCCCAGTCGTAACTCTTTTTTTTTTTTTTTTTTTTGGTACTGAACACTTTATTTAAATAATTTCAGCTTTTTATAAATTGGAGATAGGCCAAAATTGGGTGTGGGTGTGGGGCGGGGGGATTTCAAAGTTTTCAGATACTTTCTGACAAATCTATAGCCGCAGTGGTTTCGCTCAGGCGGAAGGGTATACACACATTTTAGTATTTTACTAGTAGCAAGGCAACAAGTGGATTATGATTTTGTAATTAAGCTATGAAAGTTTGTAATTATTCCCTGAACACGCACTGTAGATCTCTCTACTGTTTTCCCTCAGTAAGGACCATACTGAAACCATGTAATTGCATAACAACCCTTGATATGCAGAGTATTTACTCACATTTTTTATGGTTTCATATCTTGACCGTCTCAAATTGAACAGTTCTGAAACTTGGTATACACATGGTCAAGCCTGAATGCTTGCCAATGCATTTCTTTTTAACTCCTTGAACTATTTTCACTAGTTAACCAATACTTCTTTTAAACAAGGAGCTTGCTATTACTTATTTTTGCTAAACAGTAAAACAGTAGAGAACACCACAAGAAGTAATCCAGTCAGGCATACTTACAGGATCAGAACCTTGTTTTTCACAAAGCACTACATTAGCTTTAAAAAAGGTGGCACATAGTACAGTTTACACGATGCAAAAGTTTGTGGCCATGCAGAAGAGTCATTACAGTTGAATATTATACAAAAACATTTTAAAATGCACAGAACTTAGATCATTTCAAAGGAACTTCATTTAGAAACATATATATTGTAAAAACATAGCCAAAAAAGACTACCGACGAACTGTGGTTTGTTAGCTAGCTAGACTAAGCAGGGGTGCCTGACACTCTTCTAGTGCCAAATACATCCTGTTTTTTAAATTTCTGCCAGAATATGCTTTTAGATACTCAAATAGGCTCCAGAGGCATCAGCCAAGCATTTTTCTTACATCACCCTCTGGGTTTTGGACACAACAAAACTCGTCTTTTTGCTGATTACTTTCACTTCCCCATCAGACAACAACGATCCGACGAAGCCCGAGCAGATTTTTTGACCATCTCTGGCTTTCCTATCATGCCAGAAATGGCACCCGTTGCAATCAGGGCCCAGAACATC